CCATAAGTTGCCATACTTGCCAGGCGAGTTGGCAATCTCAATTAGGCTTTGGTAATGTGTAAAGCTATAATTACAACTAATCAACTTAGTATTGGGTATACTCTACCGATTGCATAAAAAAATTTCAAAATAAATTTAATATTAATTAAAACATCTCTTCATTAAAAAAATAATAACAATTTTGGAATTTTCTACTTATAAAAGTTGCTACATAAACAAATTACGGTAAACTCTAACATCTACAATTGTCAAATAGGAAAAAAAAAGCAAATTAATGAGGCTGCGTTTTTAGAACAAAGGATTCTATGCACACAGAGTAGCATCCACTCCAATTAGTAACAGCGGTGTCCCAACATATTGTTCTTAAAAACCGGTATATGTAATTGTTCGTTGCGTTATAAATGGTAGATGTGGCATTGCGAGGCACGTGTCACTCTCAAACGTTGGCTCGAGATAAATTGTTGCTTTTGGGCCGTTCGCATCGTTACGCTAATCTTTGTTTAACAATGAATAAAATTAATGTATTACTTTTTTTTTATAACACGTGGGGCAAACGAGCATGCAGCTCACCTAATGGTAAGTGACTGCCTACGCCCATAATCACCCGCAACACCAGAAGCATTGCAGTTATGCTACCACTTATAATGTCGTATTCATTTGTAAATACTGTTGCTGGAAGTTGAACGCACGGTTGAGGACCACCACTTATCCAGATGGTTAGGATGCAACTTTAGTTCGTGGCGGGTTGTACGGTCGTGAAAATCAGCAGTAAGTATCACTCTGAACAATTGCTCAGAGCACTCCCCATGATAAATTAGGTGAAAGATGCACAAAGGTGCAACATTACTATGCAGTTTCAGTGGGTTGAGTCGGATAGTAAAGCGCTGATTATCAATAATTCAAGCTACCTGATTTTAAATGCGGTCCAACGGAAGGATCATTAAATATATTAATTATTACAGACATTGACGAGGACAGATAACGTATCTATTTCATTTTTTTTTCTTTTTTATACAATTTAGAACGGCAAACAAGCTGACGGTCCACCTGATGGTAAGTGGTAACCGTCGCCTATAGACATGAGCAGTACCATGGACATAACAGAGTATACTGTTTCGCCCTTGATACCCCCCATGCGTTGCCATTACTGAGGACTCAGATGTTATTCCTCTGTACCCTGTAAATTCACGCCATATCCTACCCTTTAAACCGAAACACAGCCATGTAAATACAACTGCTTCACGGTAGAAACACGAATGGCACAGAGGTACCCAAGCAATCGACTTTGAATTCTATTTTATTCATTATTATTATTCATTCATTCATTATTCATTTCATCATGAAAATCATTCTATATAAAAATTAAGCGTACTAAACTTTGTGCTAACTGTAACATTGGCTATTATTTACTTGATACCAAGCATCACTTTTCACCTTCTTTCGAAAATACTATTATTATAATACTATCTTTGAAATTTGCTGTTTATTTCCAACCTGTATCTAATTCAGAACTGTAATACTAGAACATGTAGTTTATGGTATTAAGATATCTAGAACGTGGCGCTCACTCTGTAGAATTAATCGGTAGTCCTTTTACTAATTGGCATGTTAATAGCTTAATTAGTCTGTAGAGTTCACGTGAAGCGAAAGCCCTAACAATCCGACCGTGCCTACATATACTGACGTTCACTTGTGGTTGTAATAAACACAAAACTTACTTTGGTCACATTTTATAGAACATTTTAAATTCGATAACAATTATATCTGGTTCTAAATGTACTAAAAAAGTTTCACAATTCGATAGGAGATAGACCAGAGAGAGACTTTGTACAAAAGTTTGCTTGGGCACCTTTGTCCTGTTCGTGTTTCTACAAGCAGTTGTGTTTGGATTGCACCTGAGTCCTCAAGAATGGCAACGCATGGGGGGGTATCATGGGCGAAACAGTATATTTTGTTATGTCCATGGTACTATTCATGTCTATAGGCGACGGTTACCACTTTCCATCAGGTGGGCCGTCAGCTTGTTTGTTATTCCAAGTTGCATAAAAAAACCTTTTTGTTTTTCGCGTAATCTTTAATTTTAACGACCGATAAAATTCACTGTTATATTGATTCCAAGTTAATTTTATCAGAATGGTATTTTTTATTTAAATAGTACACAATTTTAAAGAATTATAAAGTATCATCAGAAAACTTCTAGTAAAATAAACCGAAAAGCAAATTAACGAATTATAACGCCTCAGTGTTACGTGAAACAAATTAGTCCCAAATCAATGGCTATAAATAATTTAGTTAGATGTTACACCTAATTGTTATGGCGAGGCAATCTTGGCACGCATATTTACATAAAGTAAACGTAACACCTACGCTTACAAGATAATTAACAATAATCCCTACTCGACTAAAATGATTTATTCTAGCGTACAAATTTTCATCTTGATTGTATTTATAAATGTGAAAATTTTTAAAGATGTCTTGATGTTTGTTACTAGTTTTTTTTTTTTTTTTGTAGTTCTGCTTCATCTAAATGCTCGAAGCTCGAAATATGAAAGATGGACTCAAGACTGTCCACGTAGGACATGGTTAATATCAATAGGTTATTGAGGTAGTGAATTTATTGCTAGTTAATTTGATTCTATTTAAGCTACCTGAGCTTTGATAGGTTTGTTACTATATTATCGTTAAATAACTAGACTGTAGATAAAAATACATACAAATATTTTAGATTATTAATATTTAATAATATTTCTACTTTTATCGTAAAATCAGAATTAAATTGTCTAATTTTAGGCTCAAATTGAAATTTTATGATAAAATTCGTCTATCATATATATACATTTAATACCATTCCTTTAATTTGATTATATATATATACCATACTTATTTTGACAAATTTAACATCATATTTTTTTTAAACTTCTTGCCTTTTTCACGTGTCTACTTGGGGTTGCTATATTATATATTTTCTTCTTCCATTTTTTTATTTTTTCTATTTGCAGTCATCTAGTTACTTTAATTTTTAGTCCTGTCGTCCTTCTTTTGTGAAACAAAATCATAAATTGTTATGATTAACTAGACAAGTTTAATTAACAACTAAACAGTGTGGTGGGAGCGGCCCTAAAAATTCAGTTGTCAAGTGTCGCGCGTTGTGTGGTCCATCATTAGTACAACACTTGTCTTCATTATTATATGCTTAGTGCGACACTTGCCGAGACACCGTCGACTGACACAGCATAGGGTAGGGTTTTTAAAGGGATCAAACTCATCCCTAAAAGCTTTCTTTAACGTCATGTATATATTAAAATATCGAAGTCTCTTTGCGTGATAAAATCCGAAACGAGGCTATCCGCAAAAGAACCAGAATAACCGACATAACCCGAAGGATAAGCAAGCTGAACTGGCAATGGGCTGGTCACATAGCACAAAGAACCGACAACCAATGGGGAAGAGAGGTTCTTGAGTGACGACCGCGTACGGGTAAACGCAGTGTTGGACGACCGGGGGGTTATACATTTCAGGTCGTCGCTCCATCTAGTGGGGGGGAGGCACTAGATGGAGTGATGACCTGAAATGCATTGCAGGGAGTCAGTGAATGCAGGTGGCTCAGGACCGTTCTTTATGGCAGTCTATGGGGGAGGCTTATGTCCAGCAGTGGACGGATAATGGCTGAAATGATGATGATCCAACAACAACAAATACAGCTTAAAATAAATATGTAACTATAACTCTGTACAGTAAAATATTCTAGCTATTTTGTGAAAATAACAGTTTATAATAAAAAATAATCTTTTCCACTTTTCCTCCATAAGTATATGAAACAAATGTCAAAAAACATTACCGATAGCCGATAGAAATGGGTTGAAATCCCGTTAGACGAAGTTGTTGGAAGGTTAAATTTTTTTATATATCTATACATTGCTATGTATATACATGCATATATTGTACGTTTCAAGATACTCAAATAAATTAAAAAAAAAATGCTTGGGTACCTCTGTCCCATTCGTGTTTCAACCGTGAAGCAGTTGTGTTCGCATGGCTGTGTTTCGGTTTGAAGGGTGGGATATGGCGTGAATTTACTGGGTACAGAGGAATAACACCTGAGTCCTCAGGAATAGCAACGCATGAGGGGTATCATGGACGAAACAGTATACTCTGTTATGTCCATGGTACTGCTCATGTCTATAGGCGACGGTTACCACTTTCCATCAGGTGGGCCGTCAGCTTGTTTGCCATTCTAAGTTGTATAAAAAAAAAATTATAATCATTACATATCAGCCGTTGTCTGTCCACTACTGGAAGTTTGCTAATAGTTGCCACGCTTGACAGACAGATTGGCAATCGCAGTTAGACATTGGTGGTGTTTTAAGAGGGACGCTGTTGCTTATTACTCAACCATTAAGTTCCTTTATTCTATATCGGGACCACACTGTAAATGTTTATAACACATATCACAAAATCTTATATAAAACAAAAAATAAAACCTATACAAATATTTTACACACATATTTATTGATAATGTTTGATGGATATATTTTAATTAACCATACCCTAAATAAAAATAACATGTTATTTTTATCCCAACTAACACAAGTGTTAGATATTTATTTTAAATTATATAAATTTTCTTAAACATATTGTGTCAAAATATGTACCTACATTTATTAATAAAAAATCAGCATAACAACTTTAAATATAATATAAAGTTGGGTATTTATGTTACATTATTTGTTATATATCAAATACAAAGTAAAATAAATAAATATATGATTTAATAGTATGATATCTAAATTAAATGAACTGTGAGATCTTGTCCTTCATTTCTATTTATCACTAAGAGGCTTACAACCTTTACTAAAAAATATATCATATAAATGTAAACTTAGAATTACGTAGTTAAATTACTATGAAAACATATTAGCCATATTACATGCAGTTCTTAATTTTTTATTTAATAATAAAATAATAATATTTTTTTTTATTCAAGAAAGATACAGTTGCATAAGGTACAATTTACAATTACAATTTATATTAAACGAGGAAATATCTGCATTACCATCAGTCCCCAAAATAGGCCAGACCTGTATCTTGGGGACTATGAGTGCGGTTACTTATTAAGTACACTTTATTTACAAAAAATAAATAAAATAAAAAAATAAATAAATAAGAAAGTAACATTAAATTAAACAACAGTGCGTGTACACGTCTATCTCGGTCAGCTGATCTAATCGCATTTGAGACAAGCAAAGCTGCAGTTCACAGCTAGTGTAGAACAAATCGACCGACATTATCCAAAGCCAACCTGAGTTTACGTCTCCCTACAGATATTTACCGAAAATGGGAGTCAATATTTCGCGGCTCTAATAAGAACATATCTCGCTTCAGTTATGCTCTGTGGGGTAACATAAACATATACCTAAAGGGGCTGTAGCTTCAATAATTCCAGAAAAGTCATATGAACTTTGAGCAATCTTTTTTTTTTATACAACTTATAATGGCAAACAAGCTGACGGCCCACCTGATGGAAAGTGGTAACAGTCGCCTCTCTCTTTTCATTTAAGACTTTCCTCTTGTCGGTGCAACTAATTAATACCTCTTACCTATTCGTGTTTCAACCGTGAAGCAATTGTGTTTGCATGGCTGTTTCGGTTTGAAGGATGGGATATGGCGTGAATTTACTGGGTACAGAGGAATAACACCTGAGTCCTCAGGAATGGCAACACATGGGAGGTATCATGGGCGAAACAGTATACTCTGTTATGTCCATGCTACTGCTCATGTCTATAGGCGACGTTACCACTTTCTTTCAGGTAGGCCATCAGCATGTTTGTCATTTTAAGTTGTATAAAAAAAATTAACATAAATGCGCCAAATTGTGGAATAATGGTTGAACTTCGGCTAACATTGACCTGCATTAAAATATAACCTTAACCTGCATTATAATATAACCTTGACCTGGTATTAGGAAGCTATGAAGTCGGAATTGTATTAGATAAGTAAATATTGATCTAAATAAAGCTACATCATTGGTGAATAAATGACGAGATATTTCGTGGAGACTTTGTAAATATTGTGCGTTCATATATTACATACGTTGTTTTATAACAAGCTACAGGGAGACATTATTCAAAAGCCGTTTGCATAGTTTATCCTTTGTCCCATCCGTATTTCTGCCATGAAACAGCTGTACTTGCATGCCAATGTTTCGGTTCGAAAGGTGGGATATGGCAGTGAAATAACAAGGTACACAGGCATAATATCTTAGTCCCGGGAACGTGAGATAATTAATAATGAGAAGTTAGTCCTCATTGCTAGCAATATACTCCATCATGTCGACCTCTAAACGGTCTTCCCTGAAAACCATCGTGGTTTGTTCTTACTGATATCACGACGATGGGCATATTGATTTCGCTTAATTCTCATCTATCATCCTTTGATGGTGTCCTGACAGTGCATACCGATAACGCAGGTGGGGTTACCATTCAATTTTCACCTCATTAAAAACACCTTAGTCCTGAGGACTAAGGTGTTTTGTTGTGAGTTATAACGCATAAGAGGTACCATATGCATCACAATGTCTTCTGCGATATCAATGGTGCTATTCATGTTTGTAGACGGCGATTACCAGTTTTCATCAGGTAAGCCGTCAGCTTCTTAGTCATTTTAGGTATAATACAAAAAGCATAACTAATGTATGAAAAGAAATGAGCAAACTTCGGTTACGTATTGGTCTGAGAATCGAAGGTGAAATGAAAAAGCTAGTCTTCAAAAATATATATTTATATGAATCAAGAGTGATTTAGAAATTATTACGTTTGTATTTACTTTAAATGTACCAATGCTCACAGTACAGTACACTATGAACTGTTTATTTAGTCTAGAAATATTTGAAAAATAATAAAAGTTATTTCTTTGAATTGATTAAAGAATTAAAAGAATTTTTTTTTTCTATAAAACTTTTTCTCTATAAAATTGTATACCAACTCTCCAATAAATGTCAAAATACTTATGACATACATCAGACCAATCAACATGAAAGCACCCAACAAATGCTCAACACTCAGAGGTGCAATACTACTAGTTAACTCTACACTACTTTTACGAATCAGCAATTCTTCGTTCCACTTATCTATCAAGCCATTCTCCGAAACACTCCGAATAATAGAATTAAATCTTTCCAACATGGGAAACCATTTTCTAGCTAAAAGTACGACCCCATATTTATAAAGATTATTGCTTTCTGGAAAACAGTAGATCAACGATTCGCCTCTTCCTAATTTTTGATCTTGGTACATAGACTGCCTTCTCGAAGAGACAACAGCAAAATTTCTATTCAAAGCTGTACGCCTTATCCCCTCTTCAAACGTTGTCGAGCTATATTTGCGATACAAATAAAACGAGCTCGCGTTATTAGTCTCAAAATAGGATCGGTAAATCTCTCTGCCTCCCAAAGGAATCTGAGACTGTATAAGATCCGCTTCGGTGCTTATCTGCTTTTCAAATCGCGGGTGCATTAAGAAAGTTCTCAAGAACGATTCGTAGGAAATCCCCATGTTTACGCTGAAGAGAAGCCAAACGAAGATTAAGATGCGGAACGTACCGCTTCTTGGCTCGAATGATGATCCCCAACCAAGTAACATGCTAAATGTCATCAACAAGGAATTTGTAGGCCATTTAGTGACTTTCCTGTTCTGCTCTCTATAGTAAAAGTAATGGAAAACAAGCCCCATTATTACAAGACTGACAAATGTGGCAAGCCATGTCGACCATTGAAAAATTGTAATTAAATTGTTCCAAGTAGAAGCTCGGCCAGCTTTAGGAACACACCATATCATTTCGTCTTGCGTGTAACTAACTGTAGGATGAAACCACTTTCGGATAGTTCTTGTAACCTCTATGTTTCCTATAATTAAATCTACCTTTTCATTTCTTAATACCTCGTACGCACCTGTTGCTGATCCATTACCATAAATAGTCCCCCAATTTTCCTTAGTTTCTGACATTCTTATAACCAAAGACATATTTGTAAATTGACTAATAATTTTAACTAACTTTATTTCCCCACCTTTATCGAACTCGTACGAATCATTGTAATCAGCAACAATACGTTTTCTAATTGGAGGCATTACATACGGTTCAGAAATCACAGCGTACACTGATAATGGACAACCTTTCATATCTAAAGGGAACATCTCCTTTTGTGTTACTAATTCAAGTATGACGTTATCCTTGCATTTATCCAGAATGTATACAGAGTTACATTTACCACCACAATTAATATCATCGTAAGGACTCCAAGTATATGAAACCACTTCGTCCTCTTCAGGAGAGTATATGAAAATGATACTTTTAAAAAGTTTGTAGTGACGGAGTTTATTTATAAATTGAATTGAAGTTTCCTCCGCACTCTCGTTGTCCTTCAACTCATAGAAAACTATTGCTTTCGCTAAAGGATTTCAAGTGGGCAATTTATTCAACTGCAATATGTTTCTTTCCAACTCTGATTTTTCTTCCAAAATCAACATATAATTTTTAGCTTTCTCCGGGAAATGCGACGCATTAGCGTGCGGGTAAAAAGAATCTTTAACCATAATTGAATACTTCATTCCACTGTGAATGGTTTTCAATAAAAGCACTTGTGTTGCAGAAGCGTAAGAATTTATATTGATTATTACGATGCTGCCACTGAGCGCTTTCTTCTCTACAAAATATTTTGCAGAGAGTTTTAAAACGCATTCCGCCGTTCTTGCTGTTTGCATAGAATTTCCAGTGATCGTTAGTGGATTTTCACTCGTGACCACAAAAATAAAGAGCGCGTGCAGTAAATAGCGAAATATATTTTCGATGCACATCTTATTGCATTTGTTTCCTGCTAAAGCGAACGTGAAACTCAATAGGAAATAAAGAGAAAATGCATTTATATTTTCAAATAGTCAGAGGTAAGAAACTTGTGACTGTTTAAGCACTAAGAAATATGATCGTAATAAAGTCGCATTGCGGTAATAATACGGAAATTGTATATTTTTTTTTATATATATATTTGTGTGTTTACATATTATTATAACATACTGTCTATTTTTAACTATACTACTACTATGCCAATATTTAATAAACAATAATGAAAATACATATTATAAGAAATCAGTTATTCTATTTCATCATGATGTAGAAATAAACTGTACTTTATCTTTCTTGTATGAAGAAACTAATGTACATAATCTAAATAGTAATTTAATATATAAAATTCTAAATGAAACTCTTGTAAATAATAATACGACACTGAGTCTACTCTTCCACTTTTACTACATTGCCATAAAAAAACTGTCGTTTCCTAAATTTTCCATAATTCATGTTTAAACATCTTATGTCTTAGGAATCTACACATTTAAATTTACCATCACCAGACAATGCTCTATTTACATCTTGGCGATAATTACCAATTTCCTTTCATCAGCAAAGGGCTTGTTACATCTTATTTAATATGAAAAACACCATATTTAGTTTATTAAAACATCATCATCATTTACATAGATTGCCTTAAAGAACGGTCCTGAGCCACCTACATCCACTGACTCCCTGCGACGCATTTCAGGTCGTCACTGTATCTAGTGAGGTGTTGTCCTATACTGCGTTTACCCGTACATGGTCGCTACTCAAGAACCTTTTTTCCCCATCAGCGTCGGTTCTTCGAGCTATGTGACCAGCTTATTGCCACTTCGGCTTGCTTATCCTTCGGGCTATGTGGGTTATTCTGGTTCTTTTGCGGATATCCTCGTTTCGGATACTATCACGCAAAGAGACTTCAAGCAAAGCCCTCTCCATAGAATATTAAAACATAACTTTATTAAAATAAATCAAAGCTAACTAGAACTGCTTGTCGTTGTGCATGACCTCTGCTCATCTGTTTTGACATTTTACACTTAAATTACGGTAATTTTTCCCATTATTATAACTACAATCGTTATCAAATGATTGCTTATATTTATCGATTGTCCATGATCTTTCATTTCGAATGACAATAATAATGCTCCCTGATATAGATGTTGTAGGTAGGTAGATCTCATTAAACAAAGACTTTGTACTAAAATCGTCTGCTTGAGTACTTCTGTCCTATTCATGTTTTCTAGCGTCAAACAGTTGTATTTGAATGACTGTGTTTTAATAATAGTGGATAATAAAAATGGAAACAATAATATTTAGAATTTATAATTATATCTTTTTATGTTTGTTCTGATACGAGTATCATGCAAAAAAACTACTACACCAAAATGTCTGTGATCTGGTCACAGTTCTAAAAATTAGACTTAAAAGTCTGTATGTATCTGTACCTAGTATGTTTTTTTTATACCACTGAGATAGCAAACAAGCATACGGCCCCTCTGATGGTAAGCGGTTACCGTAGCTTATGAACGCCTACAATACCAGAAGTATTACACGTGCGTTGCCGACCCTGAAGAAACCTCTTTACCACCCTTTTTAAGAACCCCTTGCTGTAGTCTCTTGAGGAAACTTCAGCAGGGAGCTTATTCCATAACCTGAGTGTTCATGGGAGAAAACATTTCTAAAACCGCGTTATACGCGACCATCTAGGCTGTGAGGGTGAACACCCTGTCGATGGCGAGCCGTACGATGGTAGAAAGTGGTCGTGGGTATCACATTGAACAATTCCTCTGAGCACAATTCGTTGTACAAGCGTAGAACACGTAGAGTGAGATAAAATCTTTCCTAAGACTTGAAAGGTTAGATACCGCTTGTAAGCCTGGGATCACCGACAATTCTCATAGCTCGTCGTTGCACTGAGTCGAAGAATTCAAGCTGGTATCTAGGTGCTCTCGCCCATAAGTGATACTGTATGTGAGGCCGGATTTGCGATTTGTAGAGCATTAATCGTTTTATCTCAATACTCCATCTAGAAGTGATAGGATTTATTTTTTCTATTTCTAAAAACTAATTTTAAAAAAAGATTCATTTTATAAAGTGGTATTCTAAGTATTCTTGGAAATTCTCGCTGGGTTGAATGATAACAAACTGCGTGGGAGTGAAGTTGAGAGGGGCATCTACTTAAAATTTATTGCGTTCAATTTCGTATCAAATACTACATATATACATCACAAGACGACTAAAAAACAATTAAAAGAACTTAATGGTCAAGGGATGGACAGCAACGTCACCAAAACCAAACTGTGGTTGGCAATCCGCCTACCAAGCGTGGCAACTACTGACAAAATTCTCCCAATTGTAAGCTGCCATAAGGCAGCTGCTTTTGGGAGGCAATAAGGGCTTTGAGGGGCCTTTTTTGTATACCTATTTGTGTTTTTATATTATTCTTTTATATATATATATATATATATATATATACATTTTTTTTTCGGGACTACTTTTTCTGTTAAATCAACTATATACAGTTTATTGGTCTCGTTGTTCTACAGTCATATCTCCTATGGTTTCTCTTATCTGTAGCCATTAGAAAGCTTCAACAAGTACCAATAATCAACACCATTAATAGATTAACACTTTCATTTACACCATACCATCACGTAACAACTAAAGTGTAAAACTACTAGAAAGCTAACCTCATACCAAAATTTGAAAACTGTAAAGTATCAATCTCCTATTAAAAAAAAAATTAAAAGGAACTCTGTACACTGCCCAGTACTGTAAAAAGGTTATAATAATGAAACTACATAATCATTATAATTTACATAATATAATTATTATTTCAAAAACTGTCGCTTTTGCATGAAAAAAGAAACTTGGTCCGACCGAGGCCGAGTGAACAACAACTTCAGTTAAATATGGTTTAACAAACAAAATGTAATAATAAGTGAACGTTACTTTCTAAAATCGCAACTGTATATTATTTATAATTAATAATTAATTTACAAGTAACTACTAAATTAAATTTAATCACCATTTTGATTAACCGATTGATCCCTGAACTGTTCTGAAGATAGATTCTTTTGTTTCGAAGTTTGGGGAGAATGATATGGGGTCAGGTCGTGGACCATACTTAGTAAATTCGTCATAATGGGTATTCTTCACCTATCATCTGTAACTGGTACCCTGCCAACGTATATCGATAGCGCAGGCGGAGTTAAAATGGTATTCTATAAAAAATCATTATTTTACACGATCACAAATAACAAGGGGAAAGAAAAAAACTTTAATAAGGAACCTGTACTAACCCCTTTTGTCAATATAATAAAAATTGACTTTTTAGAAAGAATGGCATGAATGAATCAAGACCTGAATTCATGAAGTATTATTGAAAACAAAGTCCATGGAGAAAAAAATCTAAAATGGGAATAAAAAATCTACGTAATGGTATTGTTTATTTTAAAGATAAGTCAAAAGTCTTCGAAACTATCAATCCATTGGATCTTTGACATATGAAAGTGATGAACGAAGACTATTGGAACGTTTGCTTAGCGAAAACAAGAAATGGAGTGAATGAACTTAATATTTACTAAATAATGTATAATAACATACAATATATAGTTGCGAATAGAAAACAACGTCAATTTTATTATTATTACTATTAATAATAATCAGCCGCATGTATCAGCCATTAATCAGCCGTATAGGTCCGGAATAGAATAGACCACCCCTTCCTTTCCCAAAGATGTCTTTAGAGGCGACTATGGGAGCTTATGGTGGAGGGATGGGCAGCAGCGTCCCTTTTAAAATATCTCTAAAAGCCAAACTGCAGTTGCCAAATCGCCTGCCAAGCGTGGAATTTACTGGCAAGGCTATGTTCAGCGGTGGGCAATTAATGGCTGATACAACAACCATTAATAAAACGGTAACACGGTACAAATGATCAACCATATTAACCATTAAATTACCACTAAAATTGACAGATAAACAAATTGATACTAACATTTTGTGCCATAAAACGAGTGTGATCGATATACACCATACATTATGCTTAATTTAACCATACCATAATTGTAACTATTTACAATAAATGCAACTTCAATTATCTAGAACCTGTGCTTTGTAACAATCTATATAAATATTACATTTTTTTCGTTCTATTTTAAAGCTAATTCAAGTATTTTTTTTTAATCGGAAAGAGGAAAATGGGACGGTGGATGTAAATACGATTATTCTAAATGTAAAAATATAAAAGCCTTTTTTTTTAATCGTGATCCTTCCAAGAGAACCCGACATGCAATTAATAATTTAGACGCATTAGGAATCAAGTAATTCATTATTTGAAAAGAAAGAAGCCTTCTGGAAAAGAAGGTAGCCGTTAAGAAAATTATTTTCATTTCATTTCATACTCATTAAATCATGATCATCAAAGTATACTTCAATACCGAGGGTAAAGATTAAATATATTCCACGAAATACGTTGTTTTTCTAATCATTATTCGTTTCTGTTTTGAGAAGTTTTTTCTAGAAACATCAGTGTTATATTTAAAAATTGTTTTATGTGCACTTCATCGATTGCGTCTTAATATTCTGTAGCACGTTTTAGTTCATTATCTTGTTTATTAACATATGGTGATATATTAAGTTTGATAGAATTGAGATTAGGTGGGAAGTTTGAAACAACTATTGGACAGACATTGAGCAATGGATCTGAACAAACAAATGTGCAAGGAACTCAATAATTCTAATACAATCCGTACCAAATCTAAAAGCTCATGTTGTTACACATTCTACGATAATGTACAAACATTGTTTGGTCTAGATACAAGCCGATTTGTTCTTAAGTCTCATATTAATGATTTCATTCCCTATATCGCTACTCTCCGCACCCGATCCTAATAATAAAATATTGTATAAGACCTAATAAATATAGGAGAGATTATTGAAATTGTAAAAGTTACTGTAGTCTTTTAATTGAACGATATGCTTTATTTTCGTGATGGCAGCCCCAAATTTTATTAGCAATTTTGATTTATTAGGATATTAACAAATAGTCAATTATCTAAATTGGACGTTGAGTTAGAAAAACATAAATATATTTGGGTTTCAGTTCTGCAGTCTTCTAAATCTATATGTAAATTAAAATGTAATAATTGAAAAATATTTATAAAATGTCCCAAGAATTCATCAAACTGCTCCGAATATAATAAAATCTTGTAACAAATCAATGCAAACATTATAGTCATCAAAACATATTACAATATCTCCTTACAATATCTACGTATACAAAATTTTATCTCACTTTGATACCATTAAGGATAGTACATTTAAATTGTGACAGTTAAAATTAAGACATTCTAATGTTTTAGTTTATGGGTTTTAAGAAGCTATTAGGTAACTTTATGAATTTAAATAAACTTAGACAAATTTACCTGTGTGCAGAAACCTCTCTCTCTCTCTCAGTATAAGAATACAATTTTTGTGATAAGGGACAATGAGTGAGTAGAAAAAAAGTACTTCTGGTAACAGTAAATCTACTCGTAACTTCGACTCTTGTAACCTGGTCAAACCCTCGAGATAACTCTGATAAATTATCATAATTTACCTAAATGATAAGAATAGAAAGAATAAGAATGTTTTTATTTAAGTAAACTTAATTACAAGAATTTTTCAATATTTATTTTTTATGCTTCATATGAAGGAATAAATCCAAATAAAAACTCTTAAAATATTCTTTCTGCTGTTTTATGAACAATCATTTTCAATACAAGATTGTATAGTAGGTATGATTATATTATACATATCATTATGACATTGAATGAATGATTATTCTGAAGACATCCACTACTTCAGAAGACTGCAGAAATTTTCTATAAACCCTGTATATTGGTACATATTTTTATTTCTATACTTCCATAATTATCAATAAAGTAGCATTATAATCAATATTATATATAATATTAAGTTGCAATAAACTAAAAATTTGCGTCGACAATAATAATACAAAAAAAAAAAGAAATCAACGTCCAACTACGAGAATTGACAATACTGCCTAAAACCGATTAATTAATTAGTCTTACTGTTATTTATTAAACTATGAAAGGCAATGTAGATAGAAAAGTTAACATGCAAATACATGTAATGCAATATGATAGCAATATACAGTGAAACACGGCTGAATTAAGAATAATCGATGCGGATGAAACAAATTAAAGAACCAATCGGAATATATTATACATAATACATGCTATTAATGCAATTCCAGATTATAATGTTAATGTCACATAATGTATTTGATATCGTCAAAATTTCAAGTCCGATCGCACAAGTGATTTACTAATAACATTACAATAATTATTATTTACAATACTAAACACTTGCGAGTCAGTCAGTACTTCATCTTACAGTATCGTCTTAACTTCATAAAGCGACCTATCTGTTCATATATCAACAAACATACGTTCATTTTCATTTATAGCTCCAACCGCTGGTATACTAGGCATTGGTAATATCGATACCGATTCGATATCTATATATTGGGTTTCTCTTGATTTGATATTGATGGCGAAAAAAAATTTCTTTACTAACTTCAATATGGCTCATACCAGTCGTATATATAACTTTATTTCAGCCGGGCTTTTAATGTCAATGTTATACTTATATTAGGTAACTAATATTTAATTCAATCATTGCTATATATTACCAACGCCTAGTTTATACATCTTGTATATTGACATTATCATCTCCAGATCGACATCTGCGAGGTTAAGGGTCCAAGCGACTACGGAATACACTCACTCATTTATTACTACTGTCTTTGATATGCCCGAAGAGTTTTTGATCACATAGTTTACACGTACCACTCTTTAATACCGTCACGTTTGACCGGTTGTGGTGGTAAAGGTGCGGTCGGCGCAGTACCGTTCCTGTTCAGTGGTAACGGCTGAAGGTTTCTTACTGCTCCACCGGTCATACCACTTGAAGCTCCACTCTGATAACTTGAGTGTGCCTAGAAATAAACACAGTTTTTTTAATATTGAGATAAATAAATATAGGAGTGAGAAATTAGTAAATAGCAAAGACTCTTAAAATGGCGTTATTTTAAATATCTTTATTACCAATATACAGATATAAGAGAATAATATTAGGAGACAAAGTTGAAAGATGACCCAGTAAATAAATTATGAAAAGTAAGAAATGAATAAACAGTAGAGAACATTCTTTCTAAGTTCTAGTTAGTTTAAAATTACATGTTTTTGAGTAAGATGAACAAGATGTAACTAACGTGAATTTTAGTAGAGAAAACTCGACTAATTTTTGAACCAACCGGGAAGTTTAGACATAAATGTCAAAAAATATAATGTTTTGATAATATTTAAACTAAAGTTCTTAAAATATAATAAGTAAGTAGCCTAGAAGTATTAGTAGTAATACACTGTCACAATTTACAACACCTTTGTCCCAAAGGATTAAACGTACCAATATAGCAAAATATATAGTTCATTAACAAACTTGATTATTCTAAAAATTAAAATTTGTTCAGAAAATGTGAGCATGTCAAATATTAATTTCTTTACACACAATGCGAAATAACGCAATAATGAACATAGTTAAGTGATAAAACTAGAAAAATCTGCCTTTACAACATTCTATATTAGTAATCTAGAATCTTAATTTTAAATATATTATTAACTTTTTCCTACGACTTTGCCAATCCATTATTATGAATCAATTATTATTTTAAATTTCATTTAGATCCATACACTCGTTAAAACTTAATCTAGTAACAATACCTCCAAATACCTACAAACTTTCACATTTCTAATAACATTTATTCAAAAATTACGAATTATTTTGTCATAACATTTGTAATGTCTGTTTCACGTTACTAATGACAAAATGTATAAAACCATTTTAACATTACCATATGATCTTATTGTACCACATTTTTAGCAATAAAATTCATTCATTCATTCATTCGGATTTACGTTTACTTTACAAAATTAAAAATATACCTGATTTCCAAGCAACGCAGCGCTAGCACCCTGCTGATAACTTTTATCCTCCGTAACCTTGTATGAGGGAAGTTTGAACACAATATACTTGAGCACGATGATTACAATCAGTATTATTGCTATTAAAACTGACGCCACTATGCCTGGAAAATAAAAAAGTATTTAAAGTATAAATTGAACCTAGATGCAATTTCTGCATAAAGAAAACATAAATAGTCTATAATATTGTAATAATTTTATGTTAAACTAATAATGATTCCAAGTATTTTAATCTTGAATGCAATTTTTATTAAGTCATCTTTAAAATTCGAGAGAGTAATAGAAAAAAAATATATTGTAGACCTTAAAAAGAAAGTAAACATACTGAAAATTTTAAAAGATACATTTATTCTTTATGTATAACCAAAAAATTAAGACATTACAGTGCTATTTCTAATGCTATTAATTCAAAATATTATATAGAATTGTTTAATTTCCTTTAAAATTTGTTTAATGACAAATAACAGAGCTTTTAGTCAAAAATATTGCTTTATTCAATTCAAACTAGGATTTTCAATAATGATAATTTCTATTCAAGTAAAGTTAAAAGCATTTTTGAATATTTCAGCTGAGAAAAACCTTTAAGAAACTCAACAGCTGTTTAAAAATATGTTCAACTCCTCATATTTTTATCTATTTCATATAGTATAGGTGTCATGTCGTATAGGGAAGTCAAGGATGTGACCTGAGATAGAACTGGCTCGAATAAGATGCATGAATTAATTGCACCGACAAGAAGAAACTCTTAAATGAAAAGAAGACTCGTACTTACCAACAATTGTTGCAAAAAACTCGGACTCTGGAGGCACAACTCTATTATCAGTTGTCTTCGGTTGATACCATTTGGTCGTTATATCATAACCATTGTAATCTGGATGTCCTCTTCCTCTCGATCTCTCTAGTTCACTCCCGATACCAATCTCATACGTGGGAGTTCTCCCTTCTATCTCATTTTCTCTTCTATCTTCATATTCTGGTATGTGATTTGTATCTTCTTCCGTTGTGTGTGTTATTTCTTCTGGTGTGTGTCGACCTGTTTGTGTTGGTGTGTAGTGATGTGTGTGAGTGTGGTCTGAAAAACAATATTTCATTATAATTATCTAGAACTTTGTCCACGTGAATGAAGAAAAAAATATTATTCCAAAATATTCAAAATCGTATTCGAATCCATTTGCGTGATTAATAAATATCTATATATCTAAACAATCAAATATTTATACAAAACTTTTCATTTATTAAGTAGTAGAAAATATTAACCATAATCATACAATTTATACAATCATCTATCGATATACAATAGATACTTTTGTTTGACAAAAACTGGTCATATTCAGTGTAACTCATAAATGGTTCATATCAGAAATCAAAACTAAAATTATAGCTTGTTATGCAGTTTTTGGAGATCTCGATATAAAGGATGTTATCATCATCATCATCATATCAGCCTTTAATTGTCCACTGCTAAACATAAACCTCCTTCTAAGGGCCGTTTTTTAGTAGTTGCCATGTTTGGCTGATGGATTGGCAACCGCAGTTAGGCTTCGGAGATGTTTTAAGAAAGATGCTGCTGCTTAACCTTCGCCCTCCTTTAGTCGCCTCTTACGACATCCAAGGAAAAAGAAGGGATGGCATATTCTATGCCGGAATCACACGGTACGGTAAATAATGTATTTTTTATATTTGTTTCTATATAATTATCGCTATTTAAACAAACTTCTAGAAAATTAACATCCTCACCATCAGTTGGTGTTGTTCTTCTCTCAGGAGTGGTTGCACTGTCAACAGTACCAGCGTGCATGTTATCGTGATCAGGCAGTGTCGTTTGTGTATCTGTACTACTTTTAGTACTTCCACCAGTAGTGTCTGTCGCTGCATCAGTGGAACCTTCTAGAGATTTATCTACATGTTCCGTAGATGAGATAGATACGGTAGGAGATGTCATACTATGGGTGCTGCTTGCTCCGGATCTGTAAAATATAACATAATTCATAAGGTTAATTCCAATATCCTTACCCCAAACATTCTAAAATTAAAAATTTCATTTAGCGAAACTATTATGTCATGCACACTGGAAACAAAATATACCTATATGCTTGTTTGCTACCTCAGTGGTATAAAAAAACTAAAAAAATTATGATATATCATATATTAATTATATCTATCAGTAGACAGATAATGGCTAGTATAACTTATATTATTATAGGGGCTATAAAACGAATTTTGTATTTTTTTTCTCTACTAACATAGTTTAAGTCAATTGTTACTAACAAAAATGGATCTTAGTAATCCGTAAATAAAGAAATATTATTATTATTATTATTATAACGAGGATAATGAATATTAAATTAAAATATTAGTCTTGAAAACAAGTGATAGAGGAAACAGCTTCAGAATTCCCGAAATTACCAAAAAATTCTTAAGTAATTTAGTTATTATTATACTTTTTTCTATTATTACTATCTGAAATAATATTATAACGAATGCTTTTTAAAAAGTACAGACAGACTGCATTTCAGTGACAGTTTTTGGAGGCAATAGAATTTATTCGGTATTTTAAGATTTTCATATCACAAGAATTGGAAAAATTCGAGTGATAACTCTAATTTTAAATATAATCTAATTATTTATTTGGCGACCTCATAAGAATTATAAGCCAAACTTACACATACTAATAGGATATAAGTTTGGCTGATAATTTTGCTTACATAAACTTCAAACTTACGTTGTCATAGGATGTTCTGGTTCAGTGATTTCCTCCCCATTTGAGCCTGATCCTTCAATACAGTCTTCGTCATCACAAGGCTTCATTAGTTTACCGCTTGCATCACCCTGTAAAAAATTATCAACAATAACAAATGTATTACTGCTGATTTAGTTTAATTATTACGATCAACAATCGATATACGATTAAAAGCATTATTGAATAAACTCAGGATCTATACATATGAATAGAAACGTAGTCTGAATAATATGTCATTAACAATCATAGTAATTCGTTTATACAAATTATAAAGAGCATTGATCTCTTTATAATAATAATAAATACTTTATTAATACTCGTACAGTACTTGGGTATCAAAATTTAAGTAGAAATGTACCTAAATTTCCTTTAAAATGGTGTGAGTTTATAAATCACGCGGAGCACTAATTTTCACCAAATTTTTGGACTCCTTATGAAATTAGTTCCATAAAAAAATATACAGACTTTTATTAGAAAACAATACTAACTTATTTAGCGTCCAATTAATAAAAATAATTGTTTAACAGAATTAATACAGCTGTAACATATAATCTTCTAAAAACACCTTTAAACAAGCGTCACTACCTACTTTTTTTATGATTAGTAACTCTTACTTTATAAAATGTAATAGCAAATTGAGAACTCAATTCTCCTACCTTATACACTCTTGAAGGTGGACGCCTTGTGGACGGTACGTAAACGGGTGTTATTAAATCATCACCAGACCCCGCGTCTGGAAGCACACAGGCATCTTCATCGTCGTCTCTGCAGCCAGACCCAGCACCTGAGTATACTAGTTCATCCAATACTCCCGGACCGCCATATCCTGAAGGTGGTGTCTGCAAATATATATTGTTAGCATTAATATAGTTACGCTTTTCATTTTTTTTTTTCTTAAATCTGAAATGGTGTTTTAAAACAAATTAAGTTATTTGTTGTACTGTTCTTTGCTAATAACAAAATGTCTAGTCTAAAGTCAGTAGTAGAATCAGAAATTGATTTAAAGGTACTTATGGTCATATGCAGTTTCAAATCTCAGCAGCTTAGAATATTTTTCAATCCTTCAATAATCATAGAAAATTTCATATTTTAATAATATTTCTGTTTTTTAACTATATTAAACACATAAAACTCTTCATTATAATAAATCTTATGTCAATCTAACCTGCTGCATTCTATTTATATCCCTATCTAGTGGCGTATGTGCTCTCCTCGCGTCTCCTCTAACTGAAACTGATGGATCACCAGCAGCTGCAAGGTCTAGAACCCGTACACTATTAACAGCTAACCCAGCGATCACACCACTGAACGTTCGAGAACCACCAGTCCCTCCCCCCACAGTGATTGTCGACATACTGTTAAAAATAGTAGACTGTTGGCCACCTGAAATGTCAGTAAATTTGATATTAATAAACATTTACACTGCCGATATATTTATGCTAATAACAGATGGGAAAATTGTGTCCTGAAGTGGAGATCTTGTGAAAAATACAAAGAGTTGTAGGTGAACCCATAACCAAAATGTCACATAAAATGGTAATCTATAGCTTCGTCAAGCCACACAGCGCGCCACGTGGAAAATTAAGAGGCATATGTTTAACGATGGATGACTCCAAGCTGATGAAGAAGAAAAGGTATATTAACATATGTTTTACTATCGTATCGCTAGTAAGTAGTAAGCATTAGCTTGGAATGGGTAGATAGAAAATTAATCAGTATTTCATTTGCGTGCTGCAGGAGAACTTTTAGAGTTTCTTGCTGCATGTTTCAAGCATCTTATATGATCTTTAATAGGCAAATTTTTGATGCCTTAGGTTATATTATTGTGATTTTCATAAAAAACTCTAGATTTTTGCTCGCTGATAATGTATGAAAAATGTTTAATAACACTGGAGTTTGAATTTATCCACTATAAACAATCAAACATAAAAAAAATCTTTCCTCTGTATAATATTGTAGGAGTATCTCATTGGTCTACTGTAATTTTTTTTTTGTACAACTTAGAACGGCAAACAAGCTGACGGCTCACCTGATGTAAAGTGGTAACCGTCGCCTATAGACATGTGCAGTACCATGGAAATCGTCGCTTAAAACATGAATAGTATCATGGACATTCATTATCAACATCAACACAGCTATTATCTGTCCACTGCTGGACATAAGCATCCCCCATAGACTGCCATAAAGTACAGTCCTAAACCACATGCTTCTACTTGACATTATAGAGTAATAAACCTATATTTCTCATACTTGCTTTTTCTAAGACTATTTTATAACTCATGCTTACCTTGAGGTTGTCGGATATTGACAGCATAATTGTCCAGTTGCAAAGCAGACCTACTGCCGTTCCTTGTGAACCTGGCTACGTGGTATGCTCCATCGTCAACCCTTGCTGCTTCATCACCAAGGGGATGATCACCGCCACCGACGTTGTACACCATGAAGAGGTTGCCACGGATCTAATAAGAGTAATATATGTATGGGATTATTTCGGTTATTGTAAATAAATCGTACTATAATTGCAACTTCAACTACGTGAAACAACTAACTCCTGTTGCCATAAGAATTACGAGCCAACGAAGTAAAGTTGGTATACGGTCCTAATATATAATAAATATGTTATATACTAGCCGTTTACCGCAACGTTGCCCGCTTCTATGTAGTTGCCGTATATCATTACCATTGGAAGTCTTCATGAATCTGGTCTTATATTGTATTATATACTTAAATAATAATTAGATACTTAACAGCTTTATAAAGTTTTGAGCCAATACAACTGATCGGTTATTTAATAGCATTTTATATGTAATTCTTTACATTGGTATAACTTTTTTATTTATAAACCGATTGAAATAAAACAAACACTAAATGTTAAACGGAGTAAACTGCGATGCATAAGTGAAAACAGCATTCAAATTGATTAAGCAGTTTCCGAGATTAGCATGCACAAACGTGTTGACAAACAGACACAAATTCTAAAAATCATTGTTCTGGGTTCTATTGCGTTCATAAAGCCTTCCTATAAATATGTACAGACAGCGACCATTTACGATTTTATTAAATGTACAGTAGCTACAGTAGTTATTTAGTATATCAATGCCCAATACTCACAATTTCCATCTGCATATAGTCCTGTGTGTTTGAAGACTCGATCCGTAGTAATACCGCGTCAGCTTTACTAGTAACGAATCCAAGAGCTACTTTATCCGTTTCCGTGTCCGCTACCGAGCTGGACGGAAACGTGTATGTGATAATGCCACGGCCAGGACCAAACTCGTAGGCTATTGACTCTGGAAATGTATTTGAATATTTCTGACACGGTCACCAAAGAAAGAATTTAAAAAAAAAAATTTATTAAGTGAACTTAGATTTAAGTATTTCTCAATTTTTTTATACAACTTAAACAACAACTTAACTTTGATAAACAGATAGACTAGTAGACTTTTTTTTTTTAAAATCTATTGTTTAGACATTTATTGGTTTTATAAAGATTTTTCATATCTGTTTTTTCTGAAATATCTTCCCTTACGTTGTATAGATAGAGTGTCTCCATACAAATGCTTCGAGAAAAGCGGGTCAACTTTTTCATACAATTTTGCATGATAAATAGTTATGAGTGATTCCTTTATAACTTCTATATTTATTTTGTCTTATAATTTCTGCATCTTTTTAATACATAAATACTCATTTTATTTATTAAATAATACGTCAAGATACATTTTATGCATAAGTGTATAGAACACTGATAAAAAAACGAGTTAGCTAATTTGACAATTCGCTGACAAAAAGTTGACCCGTTTTTGAGACTCGATGCTCTATCCATATAATCTAAGTATGTCCCAATACAGATGTGTTTTTTTTTAATGAGTGATAATGGAATGGTAAGCTCACCCGCGCTATCGGTATACACCGGCGGGGCACCAGTGAGGGATGATAGATGAGGATGAAGCAGGTCAGTTAGCCCATCGTGACGAATTCAACAAGAATTGTTCACGATTGTTTCCAGGAAGAACCACGTGGAAGTCAACCTAATGGGGCATATTGCTAGCAAATAGAGCTGTCAAACTCTATTGCTAACAATCTCTCCCCCCCCCCCCTCCAATACAGATGGACATCTATCTATCTATCCTATTTAAGAGCTGCGCTCTTGTCGGTGGAGCTCTTGCCACTCACTACAATTTTCAGCGAGTCTCTTCACCTCTTGATACGACACGACACCAACTCCCTCCTTGATCTGCCTGATGTAACCATATCTCGGTCTCCCTCTTCCCCTCCTTCCTTCTACCTTACCTTCTATTATAATGTTCATAAGTGCGTCGTGTCGTATCAAGTGTTCCAACATTTTTCCCAGATGAACATAGACAATATTATTAATTTTTTTTTTTTATAAATAGTTTTTTATATTGTGATATTAGTAATAAAAAAACGTACCATCGTAGCATGTGGGCCCCGTGAAGGAGGTGAGATCGCAGTCACAGACGTATGTGTTCCACTGTTGCACACATACACCCTTGTTCGCACACGCGTTATGCGTGCATTTTGTTGGTCCTGTATGTACATAGAAAAAAATTACAATATTCTATTTTAAGAAACTTCGAAGAAAATTATTTACTCAATACAAAAACTGAAGAGTGTCTGCACTTGGTAGAGTTTGGATTTCATCTTGAACTTTTCCTAAAATGCATTTTTTTTTTTGAGTATTTATTGTACAAGATTACTTCGTCAATTCTGATGTAATTTAAATAATTCTTTTTAAATTCGATATGGTTTACTTCAATATTAGGGTTTTTTTTTATTATAGCAGCGTGATCAAAAAGACCTTGCTAGATATTTCTCGACAAAATCAATCAAAATAATATCACTTTAATAAATAATCATATACGATGATTTGCTTATGTATGTACATTTAGTAATTTTTTAACGGTTAATATCCCACCCTCCAAACCGAAACACAGCCATGCAAACACAACTACTTTACGATTGAAACACGAATGGGACAAAGGTACCCAAGCAATCGACTTTTGTACAAAGTCTCCCTCTGGTAAATCTGTAGGTTATTTTACAAAAAAAAAACTGTTTAATTAATTTAACATTTTTTTTTCGGGGAAATCTTACCCTCGCATCCAGATACTATTGAAGAACTTTGCACAACAGCATCATCAGTCAACGAAGGTGACTCTCCAGGCAAATCTAAACTTGAGATACATCCTTCGAAGCCTTGTCGAGATAGTACTCCCACTGGTAATGAAGAGTACATGTCTCTCGGTACACCGGCCACGAACAATATACTGTCTAATTCTAACATTAAATTCGAACCTGAAAAATAAAAACATAGCATAATGATTAAAGTTATTAAAATTAAAAGGAAATATAATGTGAAGAAAAATTAAAATAAAACAAGAATAGAAGAAAATATAATGAATTGTAAATCAAATTTAGTTTACATTTACATATAATCTACAATCAAATACAATTAAATACATTTGATTTTTTTAACATAAAATTCCTATTGTTTTATATTGTTACTGTATTAGAGTTCAATTTTATTTTCATTAATTTTCAATTACAAAATCTTTTGTACTTAAAAACATATTAGTAGCAAGAAATAAAGAGCTCTCTGTTTTTGCTAGTCCTGCACAAAATCTAGCGTGAAGATTGATAGTTAAAAGAATAATTTATATAACTTTAATATATATTTATATATAAATAGTTTTTTTAAATACAATATTTTTATCTTGTTCTATTTGTATAGTAACAACATAACTGTTAATCTATTATTTATCAAAGAACGTTTTACAAATGAAATATGTAATTTTACACTTACTAGTAGTATGCATTTCCAAATCGTCGTCAACTTGCAACGTATGTATTTTTGGCGTTGGTCTTCTAACAGATACTGTGTGCCATCTATTATCGTTCAGGAAATTCTTTAACTTATCCTTCATCGTAACAACACCATCGCCCAGATTAAACACACAGTGAATATGTCCATTCACCAACTCTACAGCTATGAAATCTTGTTTCTTACCACCATTGTAAAACAACAGACCGTCCATTTCAGTTGTACGGAAGTAAAAGTCTAGATATGTATTACCGTACGCCTTTAATAATGGCAATCCAACATACGTATGTTTCGACTTAAAAGTAACAGATTTGTATACATTCAACGAATCTGGTTTTACAAATTTACCATTGAATATTATATTTGAAGTGTCATATATATTGTTACTCTCATCTTCGCTGCCGATTCCTAACGTTTTTGCCATATCTATATATCTTATTCCATTGAATACAAACTTTTGAAGATATCCAACAAAGTTTGGTAATGTTGACGTCATCTGTATTTCTTCTTCTGGATGATATAGGCCTCCAAGGTGTAACGTTGATATTTCCAATGTAGAAGCTTTACCTAGTATTGTTTCAGCTGAAACGCAAATCAAATTTAATAAATATAAAGAAAAAAATGAAGTGAAAACACCTAACCACAACATTGACTTCAAATAAAAATAAATTAGCAAAGGAAACGCTTTATACAAATATTTTTAACAGCGATCTTTTAAATTACGTATGTACATAGAATTCTGTTAGCATTTCTCTAGCTCTATGTATAGTATGAGTAGAATTAAGCTTAAAATTACTAGTATCAACGATTCCATACATCCTAGCGTCTAACTAGAAGAAATTGTGTTTATAAATTCTATAACTGCCAGCAGTGAAATTAAACCTGCCATAGATATTTTACATTTTGTTGAATATACTACAAATACGAGTACAATAATGTTTTTACCTGATTACAATGACCAGTCCTGTTCTAGAATATGTTTAATAACTGAACTCTGAACAGGACAAGTACAAAAAGAAATAGACATAGTAACACATTCACAGAGGACACTACAGGAGAAAGAAATTAATGTAAAGTAAGAAACAAGGGCATTCAACTAAAAGGTGGAGATACCAAGTGCCAGCTATTAAATTCAACCAAAACTAAGCCACTATTCTACATACTAATAGGACATCTAACACCAATGAAGCACTTTTCAAAAAAGATGTTCATTTTAACCAATAGTAATGTTCGTTTTGAAAAGTGTTTTTTGAAGGAATTCATTTGTGATTTTCAAATGAATTCCAATGTTTTTTTTTTTTCTTAATTTTACGTAAATTTGATTTGACTCCGTCCATCATTAATCTATATTTTTATGTTTAATATATTTGAGTAATAATAATTTTTGAAAACTTTTTTACTTTTACGTAACTTTTAATTTGACAGCTTTGATAGATATTAAAAATGTTATTAAATCAATCAAGCGATCTTACTTGACTCATCATAATATGATTTCATCGTTCCTTAATCTTTAGACTGTTGGTAACTGAGCCAAATCAAAACCAACCTTATTGTCCACTACGTTAGGGTAAAAATAAAAGTGTGCGGGTGCTGTCCCGTGCATACGTACATAACATACCGCGTACTGGCTGGGCACCATCCACCTGCAGCTTTAAGTTTGAAGCTCTTCGGGAGAACCTAACCGTATGCCAATTGTCGTCTGCCACATTCGAGCCAGCTAAAAGATTCTGGAATAAAATTAAAATAATTATATTATTAACATGCAGACTACTGTAATATAAAGTACCCTGTTGTTTAGAGATTAACTTTATAAGGTCTATAATTTCAAACCCTATTAGGGGTCCTTAAGCTCTACTCAGCTCAACGAATATACTCAAGTGTATTTGTCCAAGCTATGTTAAACTATAAAGAAAGATATTGGCATACCATTTTCTTAAGGCTATTTTTTGTAGCATGGACTAATGAACCCATTGCTAATAATATAGCTTATCAGGTTAACTTTCACGCAGTCACGATGGTATATCAATTGATCTGACTTCATCTTTCACTAGCAACATTCACTGGTATCCCGCCAGTGTAAACAACAGTGCTGATGATATTTTCAGTATTGTTATTTCATACAAATTTTATATAAAGCTTGTATTTTCTTGCATACATTATGTCATATAATGCCCTACCTTCTCACGATCTCCTAGCCTGACACTGGCTCTGACTCTTCCAGCGGCGACAGCCAGCTCGATCCTATCAGCTGAATGTTCTGAAGCCGTCCGTAGTAAGAGTCCAGCTCGATTGGTCCTAAACCGCAACATCAGTTCTTCTGTCTGCGTTATGTGCTCAGGGCCTAATGACGCTGTGAGATGCTGACTACCATTTAGGAAGATTGTTGGCGATTCTGGAATTAAAACATTGCAATATTATAATCGAAGTTGACGTAACTTTAAGTGGAAACCGCAAATCGGCAAGCATAGTGTGTGATAATCTGCAACTAGGTAGAAGTCATACGTAGAGTTGCTGATAATAACTGTAAATGAAGAGCCGGAGATAGTACTCAATGGTGTTTCTTAAGAAAGAATTTGAATTATTATGTTGCAATTAATATTCGTCGATCATCAGTCGACAGATATTACTGATTCAAGACCAAGACTAACCTTCTACAGGATTATCATATTCGCATCTCAGTCTTTATATTAATTCTACTGCTTGACCAAATGAACCATTATCACCCTCCTACCCCTATCCCAATTATTATTTAAGGTCGACGTAATCTGGTTTTATCCATATTACGAGTACTAAATGATTCAGCTTATAGTTTTACGACCGACCGCCTGCCTGACGTCAACCCTCTTTGGGAAATGACCTTGACCAAATGAATATAGATGTAAAATTACTAGTAGATATATGATAATATTCTACTATTACAATGATTTGATGATAACTATTGGTATACGAGTATGATGTTTAAAACATAAAAAATGGTAACGTGCATATTACAATAACACGTGTGTTGCAAGCCTTCAGAAGCAGAAATGTATGTGCATTATTAGAGATTGTCCAAAATTCAGAACTGAACTGGAAAACTGGTACTGCTCATGTCTATAGGCGACGGTTACCACTTTCCATCAGGTGGGCCGTCAGCTTGTTTGCCATTCTAAGTTTTATAAAAAAAAAAAAAAAAAAATATAATTATCGATACTAATTTACAGATGTTGTTTTGATCAGCAGAATTTTCCATAACTTACATTTAACACAATAATAACTATGAGACTACAGAAGCTAGTCTTACCTCTTCCACACGTCGGTCCTCCATAATTAGTGGCAGAACAGTCGCACAAAGGTCTGTTCCAACCTTCAGAGCAGACACCTCCATGCTGGCAAGGAGAGCTAACGCATTGCTTCATCAGCACATGACACGCTGGACGGACTGACGCTGAAGAAGAAGAGAAGGTTATTTTAAAAGTGGAACATTTAAAAATCCATTTGCATATTACGCTGTATCTCCAAATGCACAAATTTTTAACCTTTCTAAAGTTTTGATAGTTCGATTGTATAAATTTGAATAAAATATCTCTCGGCTACTTCGTTTATATAAAAAAATTATGTTCCAATTTTAATCCTAAACAAAATCGATGCCTTGGTTCTTTCCAGTACTTTCGTTTTTCCCTTTCAATTCAGATTTGTCCACCAAGTTAGCTTAAAAAGCTTAATCTATATATAAGCAATTTTTAATGCAAAATTTGTTTAATACGAGTATGATCAAACAAATACAAAATGTGTAGAAAAAATTACCGGAATCCTGTTGCCGAGCGTATGCGCTGAGATCTTGAGGTTTTCCATTTAATACCAAATCTCGTATACAACCTACAAAGCCTTGCCTCAACGCTGCAGTCCAGAGGGCTGGCGGTGTCCTCGACGCGGAGTACTCCGAGCCCAGACCACCCACAAACAGGGGACCGTCCAATTCTAACTGATTAGATTCACCTGAAAATTAAAAATTATAAATATTTAGTATAATTCAAAATTGTATTCCATAAAAAAAGCTGACTTAAACTGTGAAATAACACGTTATTTTGATTTAAAACTAAAATTACCGAACCGATTATACCAAAATTTCTATTGAACCGAAAAAAATGATTTTCCATAACTGACAGAGTTATGAAATAACGAACACAAAAAATTAACAGCCGAATTCAGAACTTCATCCTTTTGTTAAGTCGGTTGAAAAGCGAATAAATTTATAGGGAGGAAAGAGATTATTTATAATAAGAATATTAATATATAAATACCCATTGCTATCAATACGAAAAATATTTATAGAATTAGGTTGACTGTCTACAAGGTATAATAAAACAGTGATGTTACAGGAAACGGAGGCATAAAATCTCAGTAATCAGATACGACAACGCATACCAGTACAGGTCCATGGTATTGTTTAGCTTTACAGGCAGGTACTTCTTTTCACCAGGTGAGCAATCAGCTTGTTTGACATTTCATCTTGGTAAAAAAATATTTCGCCACCTATCCACCTAATTTCCTTCTCTCTTTTACATTGTGACGGTTCGCCTATAGTACAATAGGTTTAATACCATAAGTACATAAAAGAAACAGGGGTTCCTATGGGTGACCGCTACGAAAACTGAGCTATTTAATATAAACAAACTTTAAAGTCAAGGTTCACAATAGCGTACAGAGAAGACGTTACCATATATGAAATATTGACACAGAAAGGAAACTCCTTTGATGTGTTTCCAAAGTGTAGTGGATGTCACAAGAAAATTTAATAAATTAAACAAAAATATATTATATTTTATATATAACTAAATTATAGTTTACCTTTTATCATCAGATGTAAAAAAGGATGCATACAACACAGTTTAATAAGGTTTATGAGAGCCTTTAAAGTTTTATAAATTCGATAATCAATTTAATATAAAATACCAAAATACGTTAACATATAATTAAATTGAATTTAAAGAAAAGTTCAGTTCGAATAATAGGCTAAATCTGATTATTGAAATATCTACCCTTCGGTGACATAATCTATGACGTTATTAGAGAAAGAATAGAAAAAAAAAGAAAAAAAAGGGAGGGACGGCAGATCGGCGGGCGCGCGGGAGTCGGTTTTTAGGAATTGCGCAATAAAAAGAAAAAGAAAAAAAAAATGGCGCGGGAGTCGTGTTTTAGGGATTGCGCAATAAAATAAAAAAAATAACTGGGATATAGATCTAGGAGGGACTGGATCGATGAAGGGGTTTGAGATCTTAGTGTATCACTATCGATTAAGTGTGTGGAAAGAGTCAGTGGAAGTCAGGAGAATCCGGTGAGCTTGTTCCATTTATTACTACGTAGTTAGATTTTTTTACTGTGATCACAGGGCAATGTTTATACTTAATATTTTCCCACGAACTATTAAAATATGTATTTAATTAAGTCCATATACCCTTAGGTAATGCGTATATCTTTAAATGCAATCACATTTAAACAAAGTTTTACATCAATATAATTTACGTAATAATAATACATACTTACGTTATTCTACTCATATACAAAATTCAATTATATGGCTGTTTGATAGAAATTCATCGATTTGACTCAATATTCTAATTGTCCAGTTTTGGCAAATACTTATTGAATCAACTATTAAACTATTATAATACTAACTAGATTCATATCTAGTTACTATAAATTATATATTTATTGAGGATAAATAGACTGAGGTGGCTGTGGTCTGGTCTCATCGCTGGGGAAACAACCATTGATGAGACAGATGTTATTGAGTGGCGACTCTGTGTGTACAAGTGCGGTGTGGGCTACCTCCATTGGTTGGAGAGACTGTTTTATGTGTATTGTGGGGGTCGGTGGATGCTGGAGTTTGGGCCGTTCCTGGTGGCAGTCTGTGGGGAATTGCCTGTGTTCAGTCGTGGATTGTTGGTGGTTGAGACGATGATGATGATGGAATAGTTGTATTTATTACACTATTACAGTGTTGGTTTGGAACACCTACTCATGCTTAACGTCTCATGGTAAAGTGTTTTCATACCATTGCTCGGTCGACTGAACTAATAATTCTTTTGTATACTTCTAATTACCCATGATTACATGTGGGGATTTGTTTTACACCAGATGTACAAAGAGACAGCTTAACTGTTGCAAGTGATATTATGTGAATGTAATACTTTTAATACATTATTAATTGTGTTACTAGATAAATTAATGTGACTGTGGGGTGGTTATGGTAAACAAGCCTGTATTGTTTAAGTAGATATTTTGTCTTGAGTTATTATAAACTTTAATATTGATTTTGTTGTAGTAAGCAAGCTGATAATAACAATTCTGTATGTATTACTGGTTTCTAATAATATTTAATTATGCTGATATTATAGGTGTGGATTTAATTCCTAGTGGTAATAAAATTATCAAAGGATTCTCTGACTATAATTACTCTTAACTAGGTATGAGGTACACAATAAAATTAGTACTAAATGACAAGTGTGAGCTATGTATTTTACTCATATTTAGGAAGAAAGTTGTCATAGCGATATGGTTTGTATGTGTGTTGTTTGTTCATGTTATATTGGCTAGACAAGTTCAGACAGGGTTAATATTATTGAATCTTTATTGGATTTATATTTAATATACATATTTTGAATATTTATGGGAATAGAATGGAGATATACAAGTAGTAAAATATAATATTAGTATTTTATAAATTTAATTATCGAGTTAGTTGTATATGTTGGACTTTATTCAAGGGGATATGATCTTATTAATATCAAGTTAGGATAATTATTTAGATATTAATAAAGCAAACACTAACACTGATTATTCACTTCTTTAATAAATTTACATTAGTGGTTAGAAATCAAATAGATAGCATATTGGGAAAATCTTCACCAGACATTTATTTGAGGAATGTTCTTGATAATTAGTACTGTATGTATATATTATTGCAAGTACAATTGCAATAAGAATGTTAAACTTCTAATCTTCTGTTCATTCTTGAATTTGAAAGAAAGCTTGGCTACTGATATGAATATAAAACTGCAGCATTACTGGATACTATTAATTATTTCTGGTGTAAACCATGATTATTTATGTCACTGATAATTTAGTTGTATATTACGGTTGATATATGATGATTTTATATTTAATTATATTAAACAAATACAAATAAACAAACTTGCTAGTATTTGTTACGTTGACAGTTGTGATAGATAATCAAAATTCAATTCAATACATCAATACGTCATTCAATACGTCATTAATGTGACAGATGTCAAACAAAAGGAGATTATACACGTTATGATTCTATATCTAAGTCTATAGAAAATTTATATAATTTTCTGTTATTTTATAATAACTGTAGGGGAAATATTGGAATTATTTATATGAGAAATTTCACTTAAATGATATGATAATTATTTAAAGACCTAATTTCTTAGGGATTTAATCATGATGATTTAAGCACTAAAACACTTGTTTATCTGAGAAATCCTCTTAGTAAATAGGTTTACTAAGACACTAAAAGGAAGTAGATATAGTATAACTATAGTACAGCTACGATAATTGTATGGGACTTACTGTCCTTTCTATACAAATATATATTTAATATATATCTTTTACATTATAATTATGCAATATATTGCCTCTACTACTGCAACATACACAAATAGGACTTATTGTCCTTCCTATATACCTATATATAATAATTGACCTGGCACTTTAATGTGTAATTTATCAGTACTTATGACAACAACCAATTAGGACTTATAGTCCTCTCTATAAAGCTACATAATTAAGTAATCTGATTATTTCACAATGTGATTAATCAAACCTCTACAAATATTACAAAAGATCTCTATTACTCTCAACACAATAATAGCTTGTTGGACTTAGTGTCCTCAAACTTATAGAAAACCCAACTGGTTATTTCACGAGACGTTGTTAACTTGTGATTAATCAGTGTCTTTTAAAGGACTTATAGTTCCTTTAGATATATCTCTCTGAATAAATAATTGGTTAATTCACAATGTGGTTAATCAACAATAATATTATATATAATTGACTGGACTTATAGTTCATTCAATAGCACTCATTACTTTTAGTAGCTCTCGACCTATGGGTTGGACTACTCATTCTTAGGCTCCGGCCTAATCAACAGATTTAACTTGAACCTTGAGTATTCTTGGTATTAAGTAAATAATATTAAATTGACAATGCTATGTTATGATATGGCAATTATCAACATTATATGGCTTGGCCAATTCCAGGGTGTGGAAGGTATCCCCTATCACACAAATCTTCATCTCTATCGGACTGTCTTCACAGGTGATCTCTAATGTCACATTATAGGGCCGAAGGGTTATGTCCCATCAAAGTAGGTTCTGGTGTCTGGGTGATCTCGCTTCTTGGTCTGATCTCTTGTGGAGCCGAAGGGAAACCCCCATTGAGTAAGCTCGTAACAGGGTGACGCTGGGAAACAGTTTCGTACTGTTAGTGGGTGATCTCTATGTCGCCATATAGGACTGAAAGGGTCATCGCCCATGAGTAAGCTCTCGTGTCGGAGTGATCCTGGGATTTCAGTTCCGATCCGTTTGCCTCTGGCAAACACTAATTTATACTGGAAGCATCGTGGGGCTGGTGGAGCCACTGTAATGTTGAAGTAAATGTACTTATGTTTGGTTTGGAACTGAGAATACTCATTCCCTTATTACCATCAGAGTGCATTAATAAATAGTAATACCCTTCCCTACCTTTTTGGAGGAAGAGTTATAGATAGTTGGAAAGTCTTCCACTGGTCCGGGCGTGTGAGGGGCCCGACCGCTCCCCCATTTTTTTTTTATTATTACAGTTATTCTGTAATTTACTATTAAATTAACATAACTTCCTAGTTACATGAATTATGAGTATAATTCATTAATTATTCTTAATCCTTAAAGATTTATCAATCATCTTCATTATTTAACTCCTATCATATACCAATTAAAGAACCTTTTGGTTATTACACACACAACGGGTCCTACATTACTAGACGATCACACATTTATTTATTTGGCGAGATGATCAAGTGTTCTACTATAAGATCTGTTCAATATTAAGTGTTTATTGTAAGGGTTTATATGATTCATAGGGTGTTTGGGGTGTATAAGGCAATATAGGTATGGGGTTATATTGAGGGTGTTAGGCCATTCTTTAGGGTAAGTTTTCATTAGATTTTCATAGATTTCATTAGGTTAAGCCTTCGTAGGCTTTTCTTAGGCTTTGTAGGTTTTCCATGTGTAGGTTAGTTTAGAGGGTTATTATTATAAGGGGTGCAAAAGGGGGGGACCATCACAACATACACGACATTTGGTGATATTTTTCATTTAACATATTTTACTAAACTAGGTGTTACCTTGAGAAAGTGCATATGTAGCTTAACATTAGTCTAATACAAGTAGATCTATTTTTTTTATACAACTTAGAATGACAAACAAGCTGACGACCCACCTGATGTAAAGTGATAACCGTCGCCTATAGACATAAACAGTACCAAGGACATAACAGAGTACACCTATCCCCCGATTTACACGGTAGATACGTTCCTGAGAAAAACGTGTAAATCGAAAATTAAAAATTTTCAAGTCAAAACCGTGTAAATCGAAAAGCTTGCAGAAAATGCATAATTTTGCTATTTAACAGTTGTGATTTTTTTCAATATTTTTAGGTGTACACAGAAATAAAAATAAAATGCATTGACAGGTTAAAATATGTAATATATTACGTAAACACTGTTTTTTTATTTAATTACAATACATTAAACTGAAAAATTAAATCTTTCTGACACTGTGAAACTTTCACTCAAATACAATTTTCCGTAGATAAAACTTTAATTTTATGCGAAGAAATACAGACACAGTGTGCATGTGCAGCAAGTCAGCACATAAGCTCGGGATTTTCCGTGAGATGTGTACACAGCGCACGTGTTCAAACACAGTAGCATTTAGTAGAGTGCGATAAAAACAAAAAAAAAACTTATTTGGAAAACCGTGTAAAAGTGAAAACGTGTAAAACAAGTACCGTGTAAATCGGGGGATAGGTGTATACTGTTTCACCCATGATACCCGCCATGCGTTGCCATGACTTACCTAAGGACTCAGATGTTCTTCTGTACCCAGTAAATTCACACCATATCCCACCTTTCAAACCGAAACACAGCAATGCAAACACAACTGCTTCACGGTAGAAACACGAATGGGACAGAGGTACCGAAGCAATCGACTTTTGTACAAAGTCTCCCTCTGATAAATTTGCCTGAAGATACCTCATTTAGAGAAAACACGTGTCGCAAAACATGCGTATACAAAATGCCAGTCGGAGATTGATAATTATCTCTCATATTAGCCATCAATGATTCATCCATCTTGTTGTGAAACTTTTGGTAGTAATAGTGGTGACCGATCTTCGAGTGTTGACGGTCAAACACATATCTACTGGGGGGAAAGGGATTGTTAGCAATGGAGTTTGACATCCCCATTGCTAGCAATATGCCTTATTAGGTCAACCTCCATGTGGTTCCCCCTGGAAACCATTGTGAACAATTCTTGTTGAATTCGTCACAATGGGCTAATTGACCTACTTCATCCTCACCTATCATCTTTCACTGGTGCCCCGCCAGTGTATACCAATAGCGCGGGTGGGGTTACCATTCCATTATCATCCATTAAAAAAATAGCAGTATTAAACAAAACTATTTTAATCAAATAACCAATCTCATTAAACACTTAAAACTTACCAGGCGTTTTAAATTCAGCATTAGCGCCATCTACAGTGACCCTTCCGTCTCTGCCGCTTCTTCTCATCATAAACTCGTGCCAATGGGAGTCGTCCACTCGTCTTCTAGATGCCCTAACCCTGACTCCGCCAGAGCCAAGGTCGACATGCACGTATATGTAACCATTCAACATCTCAACTGCAAACAGATCCGCCTGGAATCCAATGAGAATAACTTATAAATTCAATATTTTTTTTCTATCTACTATTCATATTATTCTAATTAAATTATTATAAAAATATTTTATTATAAAAAATAACTAATTTAATTGACTATTATCAATCGTTGTTTGTTAGTCTTGCTAAAACTCAAAAACTTGACTTAGCCGATATAATAGGTATGTCTCATGTCTATAAGCGACGGTTACAACTTTCCATCAGGTGGGCTGTTTGCTTGTTTACCATTCTAAGTTGTATAAAAAAATATTTATTTTGGTTTTATTCGTACTAGGGATGCTTTAAATTTAGAAACTCCTTAAAATTCAATTGAAACATCCAAAAATTCAAAATAGACAATTTTTTTAGAAGAATCACTAATACATATTACTTTCAATAGATGGCGTTTTCAGTGATATGAAGTTCAGCTACTGATAATCGTCCAACTTCACATTACACATTTTATGTAAAATCTGATAAAATTATGAATGCAAAACGTATTTTTTAAGAAATTTATTAAATATTTAATACTATCTCAAACTAACAGACTGATTTCTGTGCATTTTACAAATATATTTGGAATTTGACAAAGAAGATTGTTTTTAATAAAAAGTATTACATTTACTATTCTTATTATTTTTTTTTGCAACTTAGAATGACAAACAAGCTGACGGCCCACCTGATGGAAAGTGGTAACCATCGCCTATAGACATGAGCAGTACCATGGACATAACAGAGTATACTGTTTCGCCCATGATACCTCCCTGATACGTTGCCATTCCTGAGGACTCGGGTGTTATTCCTCTGTACCCTGCAAATGTAATCTATCCTAATTCTGAATAATTGATACTTTAAATATGTTTGTAAGCATTACAACGGCACGACCAACTGTCAATATTTGAGACTCAACATTTTTTGTCATTTTTTATCTGTATTTCTTTGAAAAACTACTTATTTACACTAGTAGTAGTCACCAGAGGGAGACTTTGTACAAACATCGATTGCTTGGGTACCTCTGTCACATTCGTGTTTCTACCGTGACCGTGAAGCAGTTGTGTTTGCATGGCTGTGTTTCGATTTAAATATCCCACCCTTCAAACCGAAACACAGCCATGCAAACACAACTGCTTCACGGTTGAAACACGAATGGGACAGAGGTACTCAAGCAATCGACTTTTGTCCAAAGTCTCCCTCTGATTGTTTATTCAACGTCACGATACGATCACGAACGTAGCCGCGTGTTACAACTAGTTAATAATATATTCTAACAGATAACCGAGTTCATCTGAAATTATTTATAATTTATTTGTTTATTTATTCAATAATGAAATTTAATTATTTTACACATAATTATAATACGAATATTATATGGCAATTTATAATCAAATGTAATATAAAATTAAAAATATAAACATGCAAATATATTATATTACATATCTAATTAAATTAATTAGTAATACAAACTAACAATAAAATTTGTGGTGAATATCTATAATGCATAATTAATGAAAAATAAAATCAAAAATATAACAATTATTTACCAATTATACTCCGTACTCTAAATAGGATTAAGGCCAGAACAAATATACCAGTTAAAACCGGCTAATTAATAGACAAAGAATAAAAAATAAGCAACTAATTGGCTTAAGAATTAAAACATTGTAGGATTTTTAAGTTACTTAATTAGACCAGTCCATTTGTAATAGAAAATAACAATAATGAATAATTAGCCCAATAATAACAATTATTACTATATTAGCCGTTAGTTAGGGAGTTTTGCCAGTAGTTGCCACGCTTGGCAGATTCGCAACCTCGGTTAGGGGGAAAGGGATTGTTCCACCCTGTCAGATCGAGCTCCACGCGGTTCCCCCTGGAAACCATAGCGGTTAACTCTTGTTCAATTGGTCACTATGGGCCAACTGACCTGCCTTCATCCTCACCTGTCACTTTTCACTGGTGCTCCGCCAGCGTATACCGATAGCGTAGGCGGGGTTACCATTCCATCTTCACCCATAAGAAAAAAACCTCAGTTAGGCGGGAGGGAGAGATTGTTAATAATGGAGGCTAAGGGCTCTATTGCTAGTAATATAACTAGGTCGACCTCAACGTGGTCCCCCCTGGAAACCATTGTGCTGAATTCCAGGTGTATTCATCACGACGGGCTAACTTACCTGCCTTTTTTAACCTCATCTATCATCCATCCCTGGTGCCCCACCAGCGTATACCGTTAGTGCAGGCGGGGTTACCATTCCATTATCATCCATCAAAAAAAAGCCTACAATACTAGGGGTGTCACGTGCACGTTGCCGACCCTGAAGATACCTTCAAATACCCTTTTTGATAAACCCCATACTGTAGTTGCTAGGAAAACCTCGACAGAGAGTTTATTCCACAGTTCTCGGGAAAAATAGTACATTACTGCAGCGGCCAGCAATTGAGGCATTGATGGACGAACATGAAAATGTGGGCCGAGGCGTATCCGAGGCACACATACGTGAGTCCATCAATGCCTAGTTGTGACAAAGGCTTGTTTAGTACTTTTCTCAAACAATGCGCGGAAATCAAAAACACAATTTTACTTTTTAAGTTCAATGACGAATAACGAACAATAATATTTTTTCACGCGCCATAATGTTCTTTTGTTTTTATTTTCAATAAACAGCTTTCTATTTGCAAGCCAGTTTGAAATTTAAATAAAACCTTTTATTAGTTACCTCCTTGGTAGCCATGTTTCGAAGTAAAAGGTTATTCCATTTTTAAATTACAGGACAGATATGAGTTTACATAGTAATTTATCTGGCCGTAAAACACGACAGATATATATTTTCATACAACTTTTGCTGGCCGCTGCCCGCATGTATCTGGCCAGTACGGCAATTTTGATTTATCTCGAAGAAGATTGTCAAAATAATGTCCACATTTCAAAGCATGTTTGAGAAAAATCCTTTCAAATTACTTAGTAATAACTTTAGTACTCAATTTTAGAACAAACTGGATCAAACCGGTATAATTATTCCCGCCATTAATTTTACTAACTCGGAACAAACCAAATGTAACTAATAGCGAAATCATATGCCTTATTTCAAACTCACTGACATGCTCGTAAAATAAAGAATAAAACAAAAAAAAAAACAATAAATATATTATCTATTCGTACAATAATATATTATACTGTAACTACATCGGTATTGGCTGAATATTTTTATATCAAACTTGATAGCATAGCATAGGAAAGCATCATAAACATACTTCAACATTCTTCTACCTTCATAAATATATGTACATTTATGTATTATGTGCATATATATAAAATTCTACCAGAGGGAGACTTTGTACAAAAGTCGATTGCTTAGGTACCTCTGTCCCATTCGTGTTTCAACCGTGAAGCAGTTGTGTTTGCATGGCTGTGTTTCGGTTTGAAGGGTGGGATATGGCGTGAATTTACAGGGTACAGAGGAATAACACCTGAGTCCTCAGGAATGGCAACGCATGGGGGGTATCATGGGCGAAACAGTATACTCTGTTATGTCCATGTTACTGCTCATGTCTATAGGCGACGGTTACCACTTTCTATCAGGTGGGCCGTCAGCTTGTTTGCCATTCTAAGTTGTATAAAAAAAAATTACATGAAAAAGAAATTACAATTAAACGGTGTTCGTTTTTTTTGTATGTAAATTGTTTCATTATTATAAATCAACATCATATCAGTTTTTCTATCCACTGCTAAATATAAGCCTCTCCCTTGGGGGGTTTTACCAGTAATTGCCACGCTTGGCAGGCGGATTGGCAACTGTAGGTTTTACAGATATTTTAAGAGAGACGCTGTTGTCTACACCTCGGCTCTCTAAGTCGCCACTTACAACACGACTCGAGTCTTACCACGAGACAGGCTTTTCCTTGTGTGAGGTCATAGCTATATTGTACCATAAACAAATTTCGTTAAAGAAAAAAGTTATTCTTATATTTTTTTATACCACAAAGGTGGCAAACAAACATACGGCCCACCTGATAGTAAGCGGTTACCGTAGCCTATAAACGCCTGCAATAATAAGGGTATTACGCGCGCATTGCCGACCCTAAAAATACCCCTTTTTAACACACTTTTGAAGGATATAACTTTTTAAATACTTAATTTAAATACAGAATTACGTATATACATTTTATTATGCTAGCTATGTATGCACTAGCTATGTACATACGTATTATACACAATTACGTACATACATAGCTAGTTAGAATTAAACAGCCAATATCGATTGAGTTCTATTTTTAAATTGACAAGCACTAACGTAATTTAGAACACAAAAACATAAACAACGTGAAAATATAAATTACCTATTACATCGACATAACTAGATAACGGGAATTCAATAAACTTACTATTGGACGTCACAGTATATCCGGTGTTATCCAAGGTGCTATTCATGTCTACGGTGACCATCGATTAATTAGGCCCTCTGTTTGTATACCATTTTAGGTATCATAAAAAAATAAATTATTTGAACATTTCGTTAATTTTAACTTGAATTCCCATTATTTATTTACATCAATATATTTAAAAATAAACCATAATTCTTAAAAAAAATATTGCATCATTAATTATTTATCTATATTTTTAAACTACTACTACAGTTACTTTTAAAAAAAAAGTAGCAGCTAATATTATATGAAAGCAGGAATACAATGGTGCGAATTTGTGTAGGTATATAAAGCCTACTTATGTACTTTGACGCAAAACATTTGCCGCTAATTGATCACAAAATACGTGTGTGGGTGTCACTTTGCCGTACACAATTAAACAAATTAAGATTGTTCCACATACATCCCACAACGTCTCATCCCACTCATTACTACCTAATAATTTTACTACGTACTCATCTAGTAACGTATTATATATATACGTTACTAAATGTTACTGATTACGTGGAGACAAACAGACACAAATTCTAAAAATCATTGTTCTGGGTTCTGTTGCGTTCATAAAGTTGCCTTCCTATAATAATAATTTTTCTTATATATTTTTCATATACAGACAGCGACCATTTTTACGATTATATATATATATATATATATATATATATATATATATACACATATATATATATATACACACACACACACATATATATATATATATATATATATATATATACATATATATATTTAATAGACGTCTGTAAGTGTTATAATAAAAAGTGAATTATACTATAGAATGATAATTCAAAGATAAAAACCGTACAGCTAAAGATAAATCTCAATAATACCTAGTGAAAATTGAACATATAATACAATAAAAAATAACTGTTTACACCTACATATTGTCTTAGATTATTCGATCGTTAATACTATAGATAAACTGTTTCAAAAACGGCTGAGCGAATATCGCCCCACTTATACATACAATCGAATCTAATTTATAAAGAGAAATCTAATTTATAAGTAATACTTGGTATTCTGTATTAGTAATATTGTACTGTATAAATAAATAAATTAAAAAATTTCAATTTAAAACTGCACTTTACTATTCTAAATAAAATGTAAATTACAATAATTTTTTTTATTTATTTCGATCATATTTCTAATAGCAGTGTAGTCAGACTTTGACCATACTACACTTAAGTTTGTATCGTGAGGCGTTATGTATCTAGTTAATATTAAAGATCGATGTTTAAAATAATTTTTTTGAATATATTTCATATTTTCACTAAAATAATATATTTAGATAAGTTAAAAATATATTTATGGGACGAATAAAGAAATATTTTTAATATTATTTCTTAGTCATAGCCTATAATACATATAGCAATCATAATTTTTATATTTTTTTATGCAACTTAGAATAGCAAACAAGCTGACGGTCCACCTGATGGAAAGTGGTAACCGTCGCCTATAGACCTGAGCAGTACCATGGACATAACAGAGTATACTGTTTCGCCCATGATACCCCCCATGCGTTGCCATTCCTGAGGATGTTGCCATATTGACTCATTTAATTGCAATCACGGTTCGTTTTATCTGTCAAAAAACAATAATCAATTTCATTATGATTTGGTTTTGTCGGAATTTTATAAGTTTGCTTTGATGCTTGAAAATTCAATAATTGTATTTCTTTTTGGGTGTGTTCCATTATTATGTCCAACTTTTACTGGTTGATATATTATTAAATTTGGAATTGTCTTATATATTTTTAAAGCTATATGTTCGCTTTAAATAAATACAATTTTGTTCCCCTGGAGACGAAACGTCATAGAACAAATGCGGAACAATCCAGAAACATAGTGCTATGCTACTCAACACCTCCTCGCCACAATAGGTATGTGCTGAACTCTACTGTGCACATAAATACAAACATAAATACACAAATTTCAAGTGGGTGAAACTTTATAAGGTACCATACACAAATTCCCTTAGTGTAGTTTCATTTAACGCCTCCATTTTTCCGCCTACCATGCACTTTTCAATGGATAACATCGAAATGAAATATCTACAATTGTAATATTTCGAGTCCACAAATTAATAGGAAGGTGAATTAATTAAGTTCGATATTGAATATTAAAGCTGTTTATCCATTGATACGAAAAGGGGATTCGAATTTAATTTCTTCGACATTAATATTCTTTTTCATTATAAAGTAATTAGAGAGGAATTAATAGATTCGGGGATAATTATAGCTTATAACGAAAAAAGGAAATATACTAAAGTGAAACTCAGCGATGATATTATTCAATTAAAAATCAATTCTGAAAGGAATTTTAACGGTCCTGTTGCTAGTAATATATCTTATAAGACCGACCTTCACGCGATCCCCCCTAAACATCATTAACTATAAAAATCACAAATACCTTCCATTTATTATACAGTCAAATGAATAACTCAAATTACAAATTAACTAAAAAAAAAGCATTTTTTAAATTCGTATGGGAACATTAGATGAGATCGAAATTTATTAGAAATTTATTTATAAAATTCATTCGAAATATTTATTTTGTAAAATTTATATTCTATATTATAATTTTAATAACCAAATTGAAAGTAACAATTATGACTTTTGATCATTTTCTTAATAAATTCCCAATTTGTTTAAACTTTGCCTCCAATCTAAACTAAGAAAAAAAATTTTTGTTTGTACCTAAAGGATAAACTCAAAAAATACTACGGTAATTTTAAAAATTCTTTCACTTGTGAAAAGCTACAATATCAGCGAATAAAATAGGCTATAAATTATTTTTATTTATTTTTTAATTATACTTATATATCAGTAAAAAGCTGAAACTGGTCGTAATTTATATAAAAAAAATACTTTTCCCAAATTTATAAATACGTCTCGACTAGATTAAGCGATACACCGACGGTTGTAATTCAATACTCAGAAGTCATGATTGATTGAGCCTATTTACATAATCGGAAACAAACAAAACAAAGTTAATTTGTAATTTATAAATTGTTTGTATAAAAAATATCGGGACTTTGTATGACTTTTATACGATAAATCTTCCAAATGACTTACTGTTTAATATTTCCACTTCTTTTATATATGTAAAATAATAAAAATTAAACTATGAAAAATATGTTGAATGGTTTACTTCATTGTAAATGAATTTAAAATAAACAAAAGTAAAATTTAAAAGTAAAAATTATACTTCTTTTAATAATATATAATTAAATATATAATTAATTAAGAATATTAAAAATTATACTTGTTTACTTGGCTTACTCATATATAACCATAACAAATTAATTATTAATTTAACGCATATTAAATAATAATAATTTATATCTTCAAAATCTTACATTGCAGTATATAATAAAGGTTGAAATTATATAAATTATATAAATTATATAACATACTAAGTAGAATAGACTCAACCAATTCTGAAACTGAATTCGATCCCCTCGAATGATAGAATGATAATGTAGAAGAATCATTAGATGACTTAGACTTTAATGATCGTAATGATGTATTAATAATGATGATAATTTTATCTCATATGTGGCATCTTTCCACCCCAAAAGCTCCACCCCTTACCGTGCAACCTACCCTTGGTGGTTTGGCGCCCATGTTGAAAAGAATCAGTCCATTCGGCTCGTTGGTACGAAACTTGAAGGAGATTGTGCCAGATTTCACTGCTTCCCATTTTGGTAAGATCTGAAAAGATATATTGTGAACAATTAATAAATGTAATTAAATTAAATCACAACTCTCCATGTTGCATAACATTCTATATAGGTATTTAATTAACTAATATTATAAATGTCAAAATTTAATTACATTTCGCTTTGCAAAAAAAAAAATAAACAACAATATTAATAACAACAAAATTAATGTTTAAAAGTAATCTCAATTTCTTATTTTACATCAAATAAAAGTCACAGGTACACTGCCAAGATATTTTATAAATTAATCAGATTTACAATATTTTATTTATAAACACTGGATTGTATATCTACAAGTTATTCGTAAATCATAAAAGGAAAATTGGAGACTTCGTCATCTCAAAAATAATAAAAAGATGTAAAAGACAACTAGAGTATATTTCAGCAATCTAATCATCTTATCGTTATCATCATCATCTTCATACCCTAATCCTAATTATTATTTGGAGGTCAGCTTTATATGATTTTGATGAAAGATTTGGCTATTAGTTTTACGACCGATCGTCTGGCTGACGTCAACCCTCTTTGAGAAATCAACCCTCTTTGAGAAAATATAAATCTACTAATATTATAAAATCACCGTGTAGGTCCCGGCATGGAATGGGCTACCGCTTACTTTCTTGTTGATATCGTAAGAAGCTACTAAGAAAGTTTAAGGTCGAAGGATGAGCAGCAGCGTCCCTCTTAAAACATCCCCAAGGGCCTAACTGCGGTTGCCAACCCTCCTGCCAAGCATAGCAACTAAAGGCAAAACTCCCTTTATGGGGAAGACTTATGTCCAGCAGTGGACAGTTAATGGCTGAAATGATAATAAAGAAGAATATTATAAAATAAGGACAGATGGATGTCTGTTTCTCTTTTACGCAAAAACTACTAAACGATTTTCAATGAAATTTAGTACACAGGATATAACCTAACTATGTGCTAATTATTAAAATTTATGTACCTAGGAAGAAGTCATGGGAAAAAACGATTTAAAAAAACTAAGACGTTTAAGATTCTTACATTTAGAAGTCATTTAATAAATATAACATAAAAACCTGCGGAACTAAAAAATAAAATATAAACAACATTATAATTTTGATAAAATCTCTGTTAAAAAAAATACCATTAAGATTTTTTTTTTTTTTTTTTTTTTTTTTTTTTTTTTTTTTTTTTATACAACTTAGAATGGCAAACAAGCTGACGGTCCACCTGATGGAAAGTGGTAACCGTCGCCTATAGATATGAGCAGTACCATGGACATAACAGAGTATACTGTTTCGCCCATGATACCCCCATGCATTGCCATTCCTGAGGACTCAGGTGTCATTCCTCTGTACCCAGTAAATTCACGCCATATCCCACCCTTCAAACCGAAACACAGCCATGCAAACACAACTGCTTCACGGTTGAAACACGAATGGGACAGAGGTACCCAAGCAATCGACTTTTGTACAAAGTCTCCCTCTGGTAAAAAAGTTATTCAAATATCTATTATCTTCAGATAAATTGTGAAACTCTCTCTTTGAAATTTCATTACGAAGCTTATTGGATAAAACAGTATCAGGTGGACAACAGTGAAACACTGTAAGAGCTATAAACGCAACCCGATACAGTCTATAACGGTGTTTGAACAGGACACAAATAAAACCAAGCCTCCAGAGGACACTTAATAGATTATCCGCTAAAAGGTTTACATGGATTGCTATTCAATGATGCAAGGGAATAGTGTGCCTTCGGAGAAATTAGACGGGCGGAAAACACGTTATCATATTTACTCTAGAACGAATAGTCATGTAGAGTTCCGGACCGAAATAGTTCCAAGAACTATTTCCTCTATTACAATGGAATTAGATCCTCTATCTACCAACACGACGGGTCTAGCTAAACATGTTCACACATCTGATGAATTTGTGGCACCTAATGAACACTATATCGCAAATGTTTCGACTACTTTCTTTTTCTTTTTTTTTTTTTTATTACACTATTAAACAATTTTTAGTCTGAACATATTAAGGTAACATCATATTTCTCAGTAATAATGCATGAGAAATATCATGAGTATCACTGTAAAATCCATAGTATCATCGTCATACTAGCCTTTAACTGTTCACTAATGAACATAAGCCCTCCCCTTGGGGGGTATTGCCAGTAGTTGCCACACTTGGCAGGCGGATTGACAACCGCAATTAGGTTTTAAAGATGTTTTAAGAGGGACATCCAGCTTTCCTGAGTTGTCTCTTACGACACCCACGGGAAAGGAAGAGGTGGCCCATTCTTTGCCATGATCACACGGCCAATTATAAATTAAGAATTAACAATTATTTGGTTACAATTATTTTCTTTCTAAATATTATTAAAAAAAAACTCCTTCTCACATGTTATCATGTTCATATCCACATAACATGTTCAATGAACTGAATTAAACTGATGGGCATAGAGTTATGAACTGTGTTAGATCTGGCCGCACCGATAAGTGCATATGAAATGATGTGAAATGGATAATTCCGAGAACATGTTTCGGGTCGTGATTCCTTGAAGCAATAGAACTTTTACAGGTCGTATTTGTGTTCGTGATTTACGCATCTGTACCATTGAAAGGTGCTCGGAGACAAATATTCATCACGTGCGTATTAGTGTTAATCCAAGTGTACATTGGGTAAGCGATATATACTTAAAAATCCTCCACCGTTTTTCAAGCCACTTTCTTCCACGCACAACAACTCTTTGGAATCAATTTCTAGAAGCAGTATTTACGAACTAATAGGACATCATAAAAATTCCTTTTTAAAAGGCCAGTAGTAGGAGGGAGACTTTGTACAAAAGTCGATTGCTTGAATACCTCTGTCCTATTCGTGTTTCAACCGTAAAGCAGTTGTTTGCATGGCTGTGTTTCGGTTCGAAGGATATGGCGTGAATTTACTGGGTACGGAGAAATAACAACTGAGTCCTCAGGAATGGCCACGTATGGGGGGTATCATGGGCGAAACAGTATACTCTGTTATGTCCATGGTACTGCTCATGTCTATAGGCATCGGTTACCACTTTCCATCAGATGGGCCGTCAGCTTTTTTGCCATTCTAAGTTGAATAAAAAAAAAAGATACTTTTGGCAAGGTTTGAAAAAGTAAGAACTAGAATGATCTTCTGCTAGCCTACTGTTTGAATTATAAACAAATACGAATATAACCAATCCAAATTGTTTATTCACATGAATTGTCATGTGAATAAACAATTTGGATTGATGATTTCCAATAATTATCGCCGAAAATGACAATATGTATTTAAAAGACAATTTAGTCAACACCTTAGTTACAAAGGACAAAATTTGAACATAGTCATTTGTTTTCTATCAAGTATAATTACATTAATGAAGGCAGACAGAAATAAACATACATATAATATTATATAGATAAAATCAATATATTATATATGTATATATATGTATGTATATAACTATTGCAATAATACTTCTATGATATAGAATGTGAATAATTTTATAACTGTACGTTTAGTCTATTCTCTCATATAGGCCAAGATTCTTTCATTGTATTGAATTAATTTACTATATTTGACATTCAGTAAGACTATAGACAAATAATATTAAAGAAAAACAATATTAATCTATTCTCAATTTGACCACAGACTTTAACAATAAACATAAGAATATACATGCGTGTGTGCGTCAAATACGTGGTAGTGAAGCGGGCGAAGTGATTGTTAGTAATTGAGACTGAGAATCCCATTGCTAGCAATATACTCAACTAGGTCGACCTCCACGCGGTTCCCCCTGGAAACTATCATGGATAATTCCTGATGAATTCATCATGATGGGCTAACTGACCTGTTTTCATTCTCATCTATCACCCTTCACTGGTGCTCCGCCAGCGTATTCCGTTAGCGCAGGCGGGGCTACCATACCATTTTCACCCATCAAAAAAAGAGTACGTGGTACTGTGTGAAATTTTTTTTTTAATTTAATGTATTTTATGCATATTATTAAAATAATATTATGATTATAATATATTAAATATTATAATATATTAATATTCTGCACTCCTCTATATAAACTACAAGTGTGCCAAATTTCATACTCCTCCGACCGCGCATTTTTTGTAAAAACGGATACAAAGTTTTTGCTTCACGTATTAATATATTTACTAACATAGGTTAAGTCGATTTGTAACTAACAAAATGGGCTTTATGTAGTCTAATTAAATAAATATTATTATTATTATTAATATATAGATAAATGTACATGTATGTTATATATTATATTTATTTATTTACGTAATGTATACAGTTATAATTATAAGAACTTATATGCATGTATGATGTTCATATGATTATTTGCATGTTTTACTTTGTACAAAAGTCATTTGCATGGTCCCATTCGTGTTTCAACCGTGAAGCAGTTGTGTTTGCATGACTGTGTTTCGGTTTGAAGGGTGGGATATGGCGTGAATTTACAGGGTACAGAGGAATAACACCTGAGTTCTCAGAAATGGCAACGCATGGGTGGTATCATGGGCAAAACAGTATACGTTATGTTCATGGTACTGCTCATGTCTATAGGCGACGGTTACCACTTTCCATCAGGTGGGCCGTCAGCTTGACGGTTGAAACACGAATGGGACAGAGGTACCCAAGCAAACGACTTTTGTACAAAGTCTCCCTCTGATAAATTTACTACTTAACGAAATAAATGATACTGGATTTGGCATGTATTATAAAACAAGAAGGCAGAGTTTTCTTTTCTTTACTTTTCTTCAATGGTAATCGATTTTTATTTTTACGACCATTTCTGCCCGCGTCAAGTATTTTAATTTTAGTTTCATTCCTCAGAACATCGCCATGTTTAACGTTTCCCGCCATTTTGTCAATGTTGCCATGTTATACATTCAACAAACGCTACGAACGAAAATCTTTTTAACCAATGTCAATCACAACTATGATAGAATTGTATGGTATATTAACTAGTCCTTTTCTCCCAACAGCAAGAGTTATCAGG